ATATATACATATATGTATACATACATATATATATACATATGTATGTATACATATATATATATATATATATTTCAACCAGTTCTCTTTCTAGTAATAATAACGAAAAATAAATTTATACAATTAAGGCTGCTTTCTAAAAGCTCTATAGTCACGTGAAATAATGTTTATTTGCAAATAATGCCCTACTCTCATAACTACTGTGAATTAACAACAGTTATTTATGATTGTTAGGTAATGAATAACTGTTCATCTTACTATTTGGGCTATTTTTAGCTTACGCCCTTTATGCTGATTGGGAAAAATTGAACAAAACGTCAAATAGTTTTCTAAAATGAAAAGCGCTTGAGAATTAATTATTTAATATTTAAATTTTAACATTGCGTCAACTGGGCTCATAAGAATTTGCAAAAATGTAGAAATATTCATTTTGATAGCTTTCATCTAGGTGGAAAAATTTCGCCAAGATCTTTAAAATAAAGCTGAAAGTTCAAAATATTTAAATAATTTGATAGTTCTTTACAACAAGATGTTATATATAGTTTAAGGCTATTGTTGTGTCTCAAGTGTAAGGCACTTATATTATGGCATTTCTTTATTTCCCTTTGTGAAAGAAGTTCTTAGAACACTGTAAATGTAATTTTGGCTTAGAGAAAGAAAGATAAGGTAAAGAGAAGCGTCACCAAGTGTGACAACCGATTTCCTTCTTTTCCTGGTATTTTTGAAGCCACTTGTCGTCCAACTGCGTTAATTTCAGAGACTCTAGAAAAGACTTATTTACACTTACCTTTATGTAGTCTTTACATGCTTCATGGTTTCTAAAATCCACACGAAGTATTGTTACAAGAACTCCAAATCCTTTTGGAGGAAGTAGCTTGATTAGACAATTGCGGCCCGTTCTGGAATATGTCCCGAAACGATTCGAACGCACCTCACCAACAGAATCTGGCCCAGATGGAGGCAATTTGAAGAAAATTTTCTGAAATTCAGTCGGAGAAACGCATTCATCTTCAACATAATCTAAATGAACCATTAATAAATATTATGGTTGCATCAATTGTGTTTAATTTTAAAACTAACAATAAATATTCTATAACGAGACATAAAAAAAAGGTAGCTGCACATAAATTGTAAGGTTTATTGAGAAATAATGGCAGAAAAAAAGAGAAGGAAAAATAGTGGCACACTTATAATCAAATATTATTAAATGTTTCGTCCAGCCCTGATCGTGATGACACGGTTCCTAGTGGAACACCGAAGTCAACCATCGCTGGCTGGTGTCAGTAAGCGGATGGGTGACCACTTTGATCAGCTTGCGTAGAGACCGAGGGTGATCGGTCCTCGTTAAACTGTTCTACCGTAAAGTGCTCGACTTCACAGGTCGTCGGGCTACCAAAGCCAGGGAGTCATCCCCTCTGCAGAGGATCAAAATTGCGATGGCATATCTTCGAATCACCCTCAGGGATGTTTCCCAGACCGTCGCCAATAGCCCATTGTGCAGCTCTACGGTGATGCAAATAAAGTACCTACCTACTTACCATTAAATTTTTCACATTTTAGTTACCACTTAAATTTCAAAAATGTCAAGAGAATTTTTAACATAAGGAATGCATTGTTGAATAAACAAATATGTTTTGTCATATGTATTGCTGTATATTCTGTTATATGCCTTATTATTGATCTAATAAAAATGATCTGATTAATATCTGATGAATTTGATTGCTACAATTGCTTTGACAAGACTAATAATATTTGTCATAAGTGCTGAAATAATATTCGTATGCAGGCTTTCGACTGACGGGTTTTAAAAATTTGAGAATTGGTTTCAAAATTTTTGAATCACTTTTAAGAAAGGCGGTATTAAAAAGAACCTTTTATAAGGCTGTGGTAAGTATACTTATTACCAACTTCATTAATTTTTAAGTGTTGATAGGCTATTTTCCCAGCTATGATTTATGCAGCCATCTGATGATAAATTCAAAAAATACAAAAGATGAAAGACTTTGTTTACATAAATGTAGTTGAAATGCTTTAAGGTAGGTACTTTATTTACGTCGCACTAGAGCTGTACGATGGGCTAATGGCGACTATCTGGGAAGCATCCCTGAGGATGATCCGAAGACATGCCATCATAATTTTGATCCTCTGCAGAGGGAATGGCTCCTTTACGTTGGTAGCTTGACGACTTGCGAGCGAAGTCGAACACTTTACGGTAGAGCAGTTAAGCGAGGAACAATACCGCTGAATCTCGGTCCCTTCGCAGTCTGATCAGAGTGGTCACCCACCCACTTACTGACCGCAGCCTTTGATGTTTTACATCGGTGTTCTACTAGGAACCTTGTCTCTACGCTGCGGGACCAAGAAGAGAGGTCAACGAGAGATAAACACGAGAGTTTTTTACTCTTGTGAGTTGTGCTTTCGTTCATTTGATCATTTCTCACCGGGTTTATTTATAGTTATATACTCAAAATTTACAAATCGCATATTTTTAAGGACAAAATATCAAGTTCATGGCTAATATTTAACAGTATGTAAAATCTCACCCACCTTCCCACCAAAAAGAAGAAGAAAAAATAGTTTAAAAATGAAATTAATTTTAAGTAATAAGCTGAATGATGTTCTTATAAATTAATCTCAATCCCAAAAATATTTTAACCTAATTTTACTAGAAAAAAATGGCCCTGTAAAAGGTTGAAAAAAAAACATTAAAAAACAGAAATGAGTTGTAATGCAATTATTAAAAATAACATTAAGTTTCATCCAGTGATCAAATAAGTATTATGATTTCGATCTTTTCGCCCTCAACAGCATTCCCGCTACAGCCCGTTGAGGGCCAGGGGGTCATGAAAGTTCAGACTTTACAATTTCGTGATCAATGTTCATGATGATGACTATGTGGTCAGCAAAAGCGCTCCGACCTCCTTTGCTTCTCTGACAAGTTGGTACCCAAAGATCTGAAGCTGGTTTGGCTCCAAGCCTGCTGGGATTGAACCCCTCAAAATAAGAGTTCAATACCGCAACCACTGAGTCATCGTAGCTTATCCTTTCTCAGTAGGAATTTGTTATATTTCCATTATTTCAATTCTTTAATATTAATAAGCGATCCTCTTTTTCTTAACTCATCTTTGACTAGGGTTCTTAAGATATATAATAACGGTAAGATAAAAGAACAATCTTTATGTTCCTAAAAGCGTCTTTTATGGTAAATCAAGATTGTTAGCGCAATGAACTTTACAATTAGTTTCACAATGAGTATCTATTTCGAATCGAAAATTCCACTTAAACTAAATCCTAAATAAGAAAAAAGATCAACATTCCCAATAAGCTTTTATAGGGTAAAATTCAAGTAATATCAATAAAAGAATAGTTCAAAAAGTTTTCCTAAATTCCATGGTTATAAAATCACACAATTAGTTATAAAAAATCAATTCGGAAAAGAAATACACATACATGATCTTAGGAGTTTAAAATCCACTAGACAAAGAAACTTATAAGCAGATTTGATTTTTGCACGTACAAAATAAGACAAATTTAAATCCTGTCCACCTTTTTTATCCCGAACTTTGAATTAAAAACGATCTAAAATTCTAATAAGACAAATTCAAATAGAAATAAAATCTACTTACATTTTCTATAAGCTTCTGTGTGATAAAATTCAAATATTATCAATAACAGAGTTGTCAAAAACATTTTCATAAATTCCATGGTTCTAATATCACAACATCAATCATAGAAAAATAATTTGAAAAAGAAATATACATTAAGGCGCTTATAAATTAAAAACGTACTAGACTTAGAAATTAAAATTTAAGGAGATTTGATTTTTGCATGTACTAAACAAGACAGATGAAGATGATCAAATCAGCTTTTTTTCATCTTGAACTCTGAACCCTTCTTCCTCGATAAGGTCTGGTTACCTGCGATTTAGAACATTATTGACATTACGCTCAGAGCATAAGAGAATCAAGCTCCTTTAAAGATAATCGGCATAATTTGATAGGAACATTGAATCGAGATGTCACAATCAAGTTTTCTCAAAGAAATTTTTGCGCCTCTAAGGTCAACAGCTATCTCATTCATGAGCTCGGATTTATGATTAGATATATTCGAAAAAAGTACATACTGTTTTTACTTTTTTCAGAAATTTGATTACGAATGTGAATCACGAATTTTCTTAATTTTATTTTTGATACATCATCACTACTGCAAGAAAACGGCGAACCTTCAGAGTTTATTTTGAAAATTTAGTTTGACTATTTTATCAGTTTTTTTAAAGTATGAGCTTTTTTACTCTGAAAATATTTTAAGTCAATCAATACATGCATGCATATATATTCCTTTTCACCAGATATTTTGCCTTTCTCCCTCTCTTTCCTATTGTTTTCAATTCGTTCACAATCCTCCTGGTCCCGCAGTGGAATGATCGTTAAGACACGGTTCCCAGAAGATCACCGAAGTCAAGCATCACTGGTTACGGTCAGTGTGCGGGTGGGTGACCACTTGGATCAGTCTGCGTAGGGACCGAGGGTGTGCGGTATTGGTCCTCGTTAAACTGTGCTACCGTAAAGTGCTCGACTTCGCGCGCAGGTCGTCGGGCTACCGAATCGGGGCTGCCATCCCCTCCGCAGAGGATCAAAATTGTGATGGCATGTCTTCGGATCATCCTCCGGGATGTTTCCCAGACAGTCGCCAATAGCCCATTGTGCAGCTCTAGTGCGACGTAAATTAACAACAACACAATCCTCCTGAGCCAAGTATTTTTATGTCTTCCTCTCTTTCCATTGCCGTCCCGCAGTGGACTGATCGTTAAGACACGGCTCCCAGCAGATCACCGAAGTCAAGCATCACTGGCTGCGGTCAGTGTGCGGGTGGGTGACCACTTGGAGCAGTGTGCTTGGGGACCGAGGGTGTGCGTTATTGGTCCTCGTTAAACTGTTCTACTGTAAAGTGCTCGACTTCGAAGGTCTTTGGGCTACCGAAGCGGGGGTACCGTCCCTTCTGCTAATTATGGGTCCTAATGTGCCCCATGAAAACATTGTTCCTGGGCGAGAAACCATGAAAACCTGGGAGAGCCCATTGTTGTAGATGGAGGATGGTCATAATGTAATGGCTCTTCGGTGTATAGTATAGATGTGTAATTTGGAGCGTTACCCTTATGAAAAAATCGAGGTATAAATGAGGTATAAACAAGGTATATTTTAAAGGTATAAAGGAGGTTGTTATTTAAAGACGTCGTTGAGGTTGAAAAGGGTGCAAATGAATACCTCAAAACCAACCTCAAATATACCTTAATATATACCTCCAGAGGTATATATGTTTCAACTTGAGGTGTTTAATTTTACATCT